CAGCTTTTGGGTACCTTTTGGGTACCAGAGGGCTCTCAGCCACTCTGAGAGGGAGCCCCAGCTGCCCACTCATGGGGTGACAGTTCTTACTCCAGCCTACTATGGAAAATTCCCAAAAGGTCACTGTGGCAGCTCCTGGGAGCTCCACCCCTGCCCACCAGTCCTTCCACCTAATAACACCTTCCCCTCTTCCAGGGCCGGGCTCTAATTAACGCCTGGCGGAACCTGCTGGGCCAGAAACATACTGGATGTGCTCGGTCTGGCTCCCAAAGGCACACCTTCCCCAGAGCCACCCTGCCCCTGGCCTTCTGACCCCCTCCTCCCATTCCCAGCACCCCCACAGCCCTGGGGCAGGGTGTGGAGATGATTTTTCAGGGCACAGCGTGGACATGATTTGTGGGTGTCTACTGTACTGAGTCTCAGACCCGCTTCCCCCCAATCCTTTCACACTGCCATATTCTAGATGTTGGTGAAAGAGAAGAGAAAGAATAAAGACAGGGACGGGCAGGAGCAGAAGGGCAGACAGACAGAAAATGAGGAGCATGAAGAGACAGGCATGGAGGCAGCATGAGAGCAAAGGAGAGGCCGAGAGGGAGCAGAGAGAGGCGCAGACAGACACAAGACGCAGTGGTAGAAAGGAGAGGGCTGAGGGGAAGAGCCCAGGAAGCATGGGCAGGGGTGGCAGGAAGCTCAGAAGAAAGGTGTTCCTAAGTGAGCCGCAGCCAGCGAGCAGCTGCAGCCCACACCCCTCCCAACCCTTGCCCCCCTCCCCCCACCCACAGGCTGCGGGGAACACAGTGAGGGGTCCCAGGAGCCTCCACAGGGGTGGGGTGGAGGTCATGGGTGCTGGAGAAGACAGGATGTCTCCCCCAGAGCTCACCAGCAGAGGGGAAGCTGCCTGAGGGTAAGGGCAAAGGATGGCCCGGCATTAAGAGTTCCCTGTGAGAAATCTGCTGAGGCTCAGCAGTGGAGACACCAGGATTTTCCACTCTGCGACAAGCGTCAGAGACCAGCTGAGGGAGACACTACCTCTGCCCACCGCACCCTACCTTCCCTCCCACAGATGCTTAGGTGGCTCCAGCAGCATGCCAGGCCCTGTGCTTGTCCAGGAGACAGACCCAGGGGAGCAGGTGCAGCGCTCGGGGAGTCCAGGCCGGCAGGGAGAAGGCACGCGGGCAGCAAAGAGACACTACAAGGCTGGGCAAAGTCCGCGGGCGCTTGGGGGTGAGAGAGGCCATTTCTGGTTTGGAGAAGCAGGTTCTGGAAGAGTGAGCCTTAGAAAAGCAGCTAAAAAAAGGTGGCACTGGAGAGGTCAAGGGTCAAGAGACAGGGAGCCCAGCGTGTGAGGCTGCAAGTGACCCCGGCATGGGCTTGTTCTGTGGGAAGGAGCTTGTGGCTCCTCTAACCAGCATGCTGGGTGTTGTTAGCTGACTCAGTGGGAATGGAGAGGCCATACCATGATTTTAGCAGAGGGGTGGCAGGAATCATGCCGAGCCTCAGCCTCAGAATCTGGGTACTCCTTCCTCTACTTAACTCACTGGGTGAACTTGAACAGCTCATCTGCCTCCCTCCGGTTCAGTTTTCTGTGAAATAGGAAGCTTTAACCAAATTGATATTCACTATGCTGAAACCAAAGAAAACTTTGGAGTCTTTTTTTCCCAGCATATAATCGTGGATAACCACTGAGTCAGTGAGCTCTGGGCCCCTCCCACCCTGACAATGCAGGGGTTCATGAAAGGGCTGTGCCCCCTCCTTCACCGTGGGCTCCTTCAAACCTGCCCCCTACCTGCAGGCCTGTCTGGTTCCTCCCTGCTCATCACAAGGTCTGGGTACAATCTGCTCAAATTTCCCCAGGCAGCTGCGATTGCCCACGAAGACACATCCTTCCTGCCGCAGTCAAACAGGTGCAATAGGCAGCAGCAATCACACGCCTCAGGCGACACCAATGAACAGTTGTTCAATGCTCAGCACAGGTTCTCAGACCCTTACACCTGATCATTCATTTAATCCTCGCCAGAATCCTCTGAGGTGGGTGATAGAATTGCCCCTCTCTCTAAATGATTAAGGAGGAGCTGGGAAGAGTTTCTCTATAAAAGGACACAGAAGAAGCAAACTTCCTGGAATAAGCCACCTTGAATTTGCCTTGAAAGAGCATTTGCCAGTTGAGTGCTCTGATTTTACTTAGTATGTTTAAGATCGATAAAAGTGGATTATTTGCGAAAAACAATAATCCAGACCATGCAATATTTGTTTGTTTGTTTTTGTTTGCTTGTTTTTGAGACAAATTGTTTGTTTCTTTTTGAGATGGAGTTTCACTCCATTGTCCAGGCTGGAGGGCTGTGGCGCAATCCCAGCTCACTGCAACCCGCCTCCCGGGTCCAAGCAATTCTCCAGGCTCGTCCTCCTGAGCAGCTGGGACTACAGGCTCCTGTCACCACACCCGGCTAATTTTTGTATTTTTAGAAGAGACGAGGTTTCCCTTTCCCCTTGTTGGTCAGGCTGGTCTCGAACTCCTGACCTCAGGTGATCCACCCACCTTGGCCTTCAAAGTGCTGGGATTACAGGTGTGAGCCACCGCGTCCAGCCAATATTGTTGTTTTGAGGCCTTCATGAGTGCTGATAGAGATGGGGAGTCTACAGTCCCTTCCAAAGTCCATAAGGGATGGGAGTTGGAGAGGGAGGCCAATTATTTCTTGAGGCCTGGGAATGGTGTTTAAATCAAAGGGAGGAGGCCCTCTATTTTGGAGGATCATAAGGAAGGCCAAGAAATTATAAGGACACCTTTTTCATGAAATTATTTCTCAGCATCTCAGTCTACCCCTTTGGCTGCTTCCTGCATGCAGGGGTGTTAAACTCACCCCTGCTGGGGAAGGTTCCTCTAGGAAGCCTGTGCCTACAGCCCCCCACCCCTCCACGAGAAGAAGGGGCTGGCAGGAGTGTCACTTTTTACTGCAGGAGGAAGACCGCTCACTACAGGAGCTCTCCTGAAGCCACCTGCCTCTGGTTGTATAAATGGGGCAAGGGCTCTGAGTCTCCCTGAGCTCATGTGACGTCTAGACAAACCATTCTTCCCCTGCTTACATACCCAGAATGCCATAGAGCAAATAACGAAGGGACGGAATCAATCTACTGAGATCAGAGGCACAGTTTTGAAAGCACAGAGCCGTATACAGATGAGGCTGTTAAAGCCCTCCTTGAAAGATGTGAAAGACACAGTATCAATACCCAAAACATGTACAGGGGGAAGAAAGCCCGTCTTTCTAGCTCCTTTTATTTACACCTCCCCTTCTTCCTCCTTCCCTCTGTAAACTAAAAATAAAATTTGAATCCCCTCAACTGACTGACAGGCTCCCATCTTGGCCAAGGGTTTTCCAAAGTAAACCCGAAAATCTATTCCCGGCCATGTTGGGAAGTAAGGGTTGGACATGGCTCATTGTACCCTCCTCCCTTTGGAATTCAAGCACGACCAGTCAGCATTAACATTAAAACAGAGATCTTAAGACTGACCAAACAGACTGTTGCAATAAGACACCAACATGACAGGTGGCAGGCCCTGAAAGAAATGCAAGTATTTTACCCCAAACTATATTTGTTTGACGTATTTTGAAATGGCCCTGTGATGCTGTCTCTCGTGGGAAAATTCCCATTCTGTAGAGAATTCCCTTCCCTCCCCAGGTCTTTTCCCTGATCCGGGAGAGAACTGACTAAGAGTCTGGAACGTTTTAGGTCTGATAAGAGCTCTGAAGCCTGCTACCTGGAGGCTTCATGTGCATGACCGTGGTCTCCACAACACCTCCCCACCTTCTCCCCAACTTCCTCCCCCACCACCATCCCACTCCACCCAGACATTCCTTTCTATTGGTTCAAGGTCTTTAGATAAAAACTCTTTCAACCAATTGCTAAACAGAAAATCTTTGTGGTTTTTTTGGGTTTTTTTTTTTTTTTTTTTTTTTTGAGACGGAGTTTCGTTCGCTCTTGTTACCTAGGCTGGAGTGCAATGGCGAGATCTCGGCTCACCGCAACCTCCACCTCCTGGGTTCAGGCAATTCTCCTGCCTCAGCCTCCTGAATAGCTGGGATTACAGGCACGCGCCACCATGCCCAGCTAATTTTTTGTATTTTTAGTAGAGACGGGGTTTCACCATGTTGACCAGGATGGTCTCGATCTCTTGACCTCGTGATCCACCCGCCTCGGCCTCCCAAAGTGCTGGGATTACAAGCGTGAGCCACCGCGCCCGGCGTACAGAAAATCTTTGAATCCACCCATGACTTGGAATCCCTCCCTACCGCCTGCCCACCTGCTTGGTTTTCAGCCAAACCAATACACATCTTACATGTATCAATTGATGTCTCATGTCTCCCTAAAAGATATAAAACCAAACTGTAGCCTGACCACCTTGGGCACATGTTCTAGGATCTGCTGGGGCTGTGTTACAGGCCATGCTCACTCCTAGTTGAATAAATCTCTTCAAATATTTTAGTTTGGTTCTTTTCGTCAAGACCTTCCCTTGTTTTCAGATTAAAACCTGTGAAAACAAGAGGCAGCTCACACACTTTCAGTAAACAGCAGTACAGTCCTCACACCGCTGTCTGAAAGAGGGAGCTTCCTTCTGGGCAAGAGGAACTCAAGCAGGGCGGGATACAGAGCACCAGGGCTCTGGATTCTCTCTCAGCCCAGCACCCAGTGGGGCCCTGCCGGGCAAGGGCAAGTGGCAGGCACTGGGCAGCTTGTGTGGACACAGCCCTGGCCTGACCCTAAAAAAGCACATGCTCCCTGCCTTCAGGGTTCTCTTGGGGAACACGGACTCGGAAGTTTAGCGATACAGTCACCATTACAGACAGGTGACCTGAGTCAGCTCTGAGCCTTGGACTGGGAGGGAAGAGGAACGAAGAGAATGCTGGTGGGATGGGGACACTATCCAGGAAGGCTGCCCCAGGGAGGAAGTGCCAAAGAAAATTGGCAAGGTAAACAGGGACCTGGGTCCGCTCATTCATTTATTCATGCTTTCTTTAACAAACATTTGTAGAACCTATTAAACTCCAAACACTGCTGAGGTACTGAGGACAGATGTGAATAAAATACAGTTCCTCCCTTGGAGAAACTTACAACACAGAGGAGAGGACAGACACATCTATAAACAATTACAGCCCTTAAGAAAAGTAGGGGCTGCATCCAAATATGTACCAGTCCATATGTGAGCAGAGAGGAGGTATGGGCACGCTGACCTGGTCATGAGCAAGGGGTAAAAGGTGAGGGCTTCCAGGCAGACAACAGGGAAGGCTCACCAGGCAGAGGGGCACAGGGAGAGAGAGAGAGAGATGCCACAAGGACCAGTTCATTGTCTCGCCTGGCTGAGGAAGTAGGTGCCCTGGGGGAGAGGAAGGTAAGGAGGCAGGGAGTCTGAACTCAGACCAAGAGGGCTGTGAATGCGCAGCCGCAAGGTCTTGGGGCTCCTGGAGGATGCTGGCAGGATGCTGGTTAGGATGTGACTATCCTAACCTGAGAAAGGAGGGACAGGATGGGCTGGCAGGGGAGGGGAACACAAGGTGCTGAGCCAGGGTGGCTGGTGAGGATGGGAGAGGCCCAGCAGGGGAGGGAGGGCAGTCTTGGAAGGAGCAGGGCCTCCTTCAGTGCTTGAAATGAGGCCAGGTGCTGATGATGTTGTACAAAGCCTTCCCAGGGGACAGGATGTCGACCACGTCACTGTGGCCCATCAGCAGGTAGTTGGGAGTCAGGTACCCCTCGACTACCGCACACTGGATCAGGTCCTGGGCCGCTTCCAGTGCTGCAGCATTTGGAGGCTTTTCTGCAAAACACATTTTCCCCATCAGTCATTAAGGTCTCAGAGTTTCTTGATCAGGGAAGGGACAAATACCTAGATTCCAATTTCCCTCTTCCCCCACCCTGCCCCACTCCACCATCATCATAGCCAACACTTTCACGTAAATTGTGGCAACCAGGCACAAACAGAAAACAAGGTCATTGCTTTCTCTGATGCCTCCGTGCCAAAGTTTATTCCAGAAAGTTTAAAAACTGCTCTGGAGGAGGACTACGGCACAGCACACTTCTGAGCAGGTACAAAGCAAATACAGCACCACTGGGCCGCCCGCTGGCTTTCCAGACAGGCATTGGTGCTCCCCAAATTGTTGCCATGGCTACCAATAGACGGACGCATTTGCCAACTGAGAGATAAAAGCACTGAAGTTTGCAAAAGACTTTTCCCCCCCTTGCTCCATGTTTGCCTTGGATATAAAGTGAGGTGGAGCTAGGCATGGGCGTGGGTGGATTTGGGAGTAAATGCTCTGTGTGAAAGGGTATCCTGGTGGCATCCTCTATTGAGAGTCCACTTTAAAGCTAACATGTTGCATTCACACTGCCAGACACCACAGGGCTGCCTTTCCCCCCGTGCTTCCCATACATGCCGCATGGTCCCTTCACCCCCAGCACCCCTCTAACCCCACGCTCATCCCTTACCTACAAAGTTGCCGATGAAGGCAATTCCTAGGGCAATATCGTTGAATCCGTAAGTGTGGGAGCCTTGGATGTGCCATCCAACCCCTTCATACACGCCGCCATCCTGGCCCACCAGGAAGCTTGGATCAGGAAAAGAAAATGAAGAAAGTCACTCTGGGAAGCAGAATTCAAATACTTCACTCCTTCAACCATTCATTCCTTCTTTCATCCATGTATCCAATATTGGTGGACGTCTCTTATGTGCCAATGTGGACAAGGAAGAAACAAAAAACACCACAATCCACTTCAACCTGTCCTTAGTTCCCACCACACCACTGAATGTGACCCCTCGTGAGCAGTGGCTTCCTGGCACGAAGTACAACGGACACTTACTTTACTTCTGGACTACACTGATGCTGCTGACCACTCTCTTAAAATGCACACCCCTCCTGGGTCTTCTCCCCCTGCTCTCCCTCAGGCCCCTCTGCCACCCACCTTCCCTTCCTCAAACGTGGTGCTCCTCTGCACTCTGGTCTAGGTCCTTTTCTCTCTGGGCAATTATTCCCACAGGTTCAAGTATTACTTTAAAAACACGTCCAGGCAAACCCACCTTCTTCTAAAATTTCTCCAGCTAGGAGATTGGACAACACGCCGAATGCCTTCCGCCCTTCACTCAGCCCACCTGGTCACTAGTCAGAGCTTGTCCATCGTGTCTCCTACACAGCTTCTAAATTCCTTCACTTCTCTCTAGACCGACTGCTCCAAGTCACCAGATCACTGCAATAGCTTCTTGCCAGAGTTTTGCCTTCTTCCAGTCCATTCTTAAAGTAGCACCCAGAGTGATTTTTCTAAGATACAAATCCTACCACAGGGCATGACCTCCTACATACTTTGCAGCTGCCTTTCAAATAGAGCCAGTCTCTCCAAGCCCACTATGAAGCCCTCCACAACGTGGCCCCCACAGGCCCTCCCATCCGTACCGCTCACCTCTCCTCTCTTTCAAATCTATTTGCAGTGCCCTGTCTGTACCCCAGGCACTGGCAAATGCTGTTCCTCCTCACCCAGACACTCTTCTTCCTTCTTTGCCTGAATAACCTCCACTCTCCCTCCTTATCCATGTCCCAGTGAGGATACTCCTCCCTCTAGAAGCCCTTCTCAGACCCCAATCACCCCCTGCAAAGTTTTGATCAGAGGCCCATCCTATATACATTATTCTGTTCTGCATCCATCACAGTGCTCAACACTTTGAATTGTAGTTACTTGCCATCCTTCCCTCTCTCATATCTATCATTGAAAGTTGTCAGAATCAAAATGGAGTCACTTGTGTCAAATTCTAACAAAAATGAATAAAGCTGGGAGGTTGAGAAGGGAGGACCCTCATGCGCACAAGCCTACAATAAGAACTAGCACAAAGACTCTCTGAAGGGCTCTTAGGCACTCATCCCTGTAACAAGAGCTTTTGCCAAAAACTTCTGAAACTGCAGCTTGTTACTAGTCACAGGGACATCTGGCCAATGGGGAACACTTGCCCGACACACTGTCTCCACGAATGAAGTGGTGTCATTTCCTGCCTCCTGTGATAAGCACCAATGTTCTCCAGTGTTCCTATATTTCAAAACAAATTATACTTTTCCCTTTGCCTTTAAAAGCTTCCCCTAGCCTCAACCTCTTTGGATATGCCTGTGGTTCCCATAGCATGCACATCCCAGGTTTGCAAATTTCCTGCACACTCCCAAATAAACTAATTATCTTTGCTTTCTTGCTTTTGGTTTTGTTTTTTCAGACACGGTCTCATTCTGCTGCTCAGGCTGAAGGGCGGTGGCTCACCATGGCTCACTGCAGCCTCAAACTACTAGGTTCAAGAGATCCTCCCGCTTCAGCCTTCCAAGTAGCTGAGAATGACTCCAGATGCTTGCCACCACGCCCAGCTAATTATTCTGTTTTTCTATACAGACAGGGTCTCCCTATGTTTCCCAGGCTGGTCTCAAACTCCTGACCTGAAGCAATCCATCAGCCTCAGCCTCCTAAAGTGCTAGGATTATAGACATGAGCTACTGTGCCTGGCCAAAATCATTATCTTTGGAGAATCTCTCTCTGTTTGTTGTTAGATTGACATATCTTGTCTAGCACCAGTTACATAGTAGCTGTCCGATAACTATTGATTAAAAAGCTGGAAAATAATGTGTGAGTGGGTGCTTTGTCCTGCTGACAGTCCACATCAGAGTTACAGATGACATGTCATGAGACTAGAGCAGGAGAAGGATATCGCAACAGGTTTTGAAAAGTCAAGGAACAGGGATCGCGTCTCTAAAGACTGAATGACAGAGGAAAACAAACATTCCCTCAACTGCTAGTATTTTCCATGTGGAATTTCCAGATTTATAGTCCGTTTCCTGTTACCTGCGCTAAATAACCACAGCACACCTATGGAAAATCTTGAAAAGTGAAGCAAGAGTTCCCTCTTGTTTGCAAAGGCTGCTTTTAAAACAGGAGTTAAGGCCAGGCACAGAGGCTCACGCCTGTAATCCCAGCACTTTGGGAGGCCGAGGCCGGCGGATCACGAGGTCAAAAGATCGAGACCATGGTGAAACCCCATCTCTACTAAAAAATACAAAAATTAGCGGGGTGTGGTGGCACGCACCTGTGGTCCCAGGTACTTGGGAGGCTGAAGCAGGAGAATTGCTTAAACCCGGGAGATGGAGGGTGCAATGAGCCAAGATTGCGCCCCTGCACTCTAGCCTGTTGCCTGGCGACAGAGCAAGACTCTGTCTCAAAAAAAAAAAAAAAAAAACAGGAGTTAAAACGGAGAGAGACAGTAGGCCCAGAACAACACATTTGCAAAAACACATTTACCTGAGACTTTGTAAGATATGTTGTGATTAAGTCACAAATGAATAATTGAAATATATTATACTCCAGCTGTAAATCCTTCCTATGAAAATTCCAAGACATCTTCCAAGCAGCTTTTCTACTCCATTAGTTTAATGTGTTTCTTCATTACAGACCTGGCATTAAAGGTACCAAAAGAGAATATTTTGATCTCACTCCCTATCTTCAAACAGATGAAGTATTTTCCCTATTGTAGAGATGAGACAAAAGAGGCCCCGAGAGGTTAAAAGTTTCTACATCCATAGAATGTGGTAAGTAACACAGAGGAATAGCAGGATTCTAACATCGGAGAGAGCGAGTTTGGAGCTGGGCAGACTGAGGTAGGGGTAAGCAAGGCCTTTGTCTCTGACAGGTTAGAAGGGATGGCATAAAAAGGCACAACCCCAGTGTGTGATGCTCCCTTCCCTGTGTCTGTGTGTTCTCATTGTTCAACACCCGCCTATGAGTGAGAACATGCGGTGTCTGATTTTCTGTTCTTGTGTCAGCAGAACTAGCGGAGGGACAGTGGGGGGTGGGGGGTTGGGGAGGGATAATATGTGGAGAATTTCCCGATATAGGTGATGGGGAGGAAGGCAGCAAACCACACTGCCATGTATG